TGAGTTCAGTAGAGCTGGCTCATAGGTAAATAAGCTTAGGACTGCATACCTGAACTATAGACTACTAAACTAGTGGCAGTGATTCATTTAACAACTGTGGCAAAAAAGGTTGTAAATTGGGCAAAAGTCATTTAAAAACTGTTTCAGTTAGCAACAAATTTTGGGCTCAGTTGTGGTAGTAAGTCAAGGACTACTTGTATGATCATATAACCTCTGCCTTGAAAGGCAAAATTATTGAAAATTGTTTAACAAACAAACCCATGGTTTGTATGATTTCATATAACAAAGTCAAGATAAACCAGAATGATTTCCTACATAAAATGGTCCATTAGTGTTATAAATAAGTTTCTGCATCTGTTTGAATGTCAGTTTGTAGATTGTATTTATCACATTATTTAAGGGTGTAAATAAGATTGTGTTTAAGAGTTTGGTTTGTTTTGGGTCAAATCTAAAAGGCAAATAGCCAAGCTCTTATGTTTTGCGTTGCCAATTTTCCCCATGATCATTTATAACGGCTAAAGAACAGGACACTTTGTTCTGATCACATTGTACAGGTTGTTTTAAAGTATTTTGGAATTTGGTGACATTTGTACATTTCTTAATTAATTCTCAGAATATTACACTGCTTCATGATTGGCTATACTGTATTCATTCCTCAATTATTTGCTTCACAGCTATTCAAAACTGTCACCTGCTTACTGCATTAAATTTGAGATGGAAAAAACTGTTGCAATTTCACACTCACAATATTTCCTACTGTAATCACTTGAGGCCAAATGCAAAATAAGATTTTCCAAAAATAATGGTTTGTACTCAGGGATTTCCTAGATTTTTAACTTATAGACTGTTTCTAAATTGCAATCCATATCTAAGTATTTTTTAAAAATATTTGGAGCTACATGGCATGTTGAAGATGAGGCAAGATATTTTTAGATTAAGTAAAAGTGTTTATTAATTGATGTTTACTAATAATTATTGAAACTATATTAATTTGTATTAATCAACTAAAATTTTGGAAGCACAACTTCCAGGTTCATAAAAAACATTTTTATTGCAGTGATCCTTTATAGCAGTGATGGCGAACCTTTTAGAGACCGAGTGCCCAAACTGCAACCCAAAACCCACTTATGCATCGTCGGGTGCCGGGTGGGTGTGGCCCATTGTGGGGGTGTGGCCCATTGGGTGGGCGTGGCTGCAGTGGTAACGGCAGACTGGGTGGGACTAAAAAGTTCAATCAATTCCAACTTTGCAAGATCTTTTTTTTTCCCGCAAGAAGTTGAAATTGACTGATTGATTGAACCTTTTTTTTTTTTTGCACACGGCGGCGGAGGTCTAAAGCGAAAAGGTTTTATAAAACCCAGCTGAAGGCCTAGGACTGGGGCGACGGCGCGCGTGCCCACAGAGAGGGCTCTGAGTGCCGCCTCTGGCACCCGTACCATAGGTTCGCCACCATTGCTTTATAGAGTTGTGATACTGCTGTATTAAAGCAGCTATGCTAAAATGATTAATTCTAAAAATAAATGGTTCTATTTGGAAAGATTTAGAAAAGGAGATGAAAAATAGGGTGGATGGATGGAATCAAATGTGGAAGAACTCTTGTATTATTAAGTCAGGACAATTTGATAAGCATGTGTCCACATAATCACCAGGAATTAAATGTGACTTGTTAACTAAACAAAAGTACTTCTTGCAAGGTGTGTGTGCATCCATTTGTGTGTGTGTCTCAGATGTCAGAAAGACATAAGCATTAGATACACAGCATGCTGACATAAAAACTGGAAGATACGTGAGCAAATGCTTGACTCCATTCAGTCTTCTTGTGTTGAGTTTTAAGATATAAAGATATACATGGTGATGAACAGTGAAGCATTAATTTTCCTGCACTTATTACATCCATGAAGTCCCACCAGACAGGCCTGTTCAATGACCTGGACTCATTTAGCAAGAGTGAGATAAGGTACTGTTGGTGTGCCAAATTATTTTTAAAGATTTTTGGTGAATAATGTAGCCGATACCCACTCTGGGCTAGATGCCAGTGGACAGAATCCACTGTGTTGAGCAAAGCAAAGATCTTGTATTGTTATCTGGGGCTTGTTTGAGCTTGAGAATAGGCTCAGATCCTCTGTGGTGCAAACTCTGCCACCTGTGCACTTTAAGGAAGTGTCCTCAGTGCCTTCCTTGGACAGCCAGGCAGAGTGCGGGGTGATTGGCTTGGGAAAATTTCAAATTCTTAAAAGAGAATCATGCCACTTTCTTAAAAGAAGAGGCTGTATATCTTCTCTGGAAGAAGCCCTCTGTGGAACGGCTATTTTTAACCATTTCTGCTTGGTGCCCAATTTTTCCTGGTGGCTTAGCTACAGATAATCCAAGAAACGAATTATCTCTCGTTAGACAAAAATAGCATTGATTCCCCTGGTGGATGACTCTCATCTGGATCTGCGATGGGAAAGTGCACCTCACTGCTCCTGTAAGATCTCTCTGTGGCATTTGATACTATTGGCTTGTGGTATCTTGCCAGGCTGCATACAAGGCTGGGGAGTCAGAAACACTGCTTCAAGTTTCAGCACCTGAGGTCATTCCAGTCAGTAATTATGACAACGCTTGACCCAGCAATTCTTTCAATTCAGGGTACCTGGGAGTTCAGTTCTCTTTCCCAAGCTATTTAACATCTAAGGCCCTAAGACAGTGATGGCGAACCTTTTAGAGACCGAGTGCCCAAACTGCAATTCAAAACTCACTTATGCATCGTCAGGTGCCGGGTGGGCGTGGCTATGGTGGTAACAGCAGACTGGGTGGGACTAAAAAGTTCAATCAATCAATTCCAACTTTGCAAGAACTTTTTTTTTCCCCGTGAGAAGTTGAAATTGACTGATTGATTGAACCTTTTTTTTTTGTACACAGCGGTGGAGGCCTAAAGCGAAAAGGTTTTATAAAACCCAGCTGAAGGCCTAGGACTGGGGCGACGGCGCGCATGCCCACAGAGAGGGCTCTGAGTGCCGCCTCTGGCACCCGTGCCATAGGTTCGCCACCACTGCCCTAGGAGAGGTCGGGCCAGAGCAAGGATGCCCTAGAAAGCTTGGTGTCTGGCTTCTATCAGGGTTTGAATGGAGCAAAACGATGTTAGACTGAATCCAAGACCATGTTTTTTAGCAATACACATCCAGGAAAGTTACTGGATAGGACAGAATAGGGGTTGGTTCATGATCTTGACTTGTAGGTATTACTTAAGCAACAGGTGGAGGCTATGGGGCTTTTGTCAAGCTTTGCCTGGCATGCCAATTACAATCCTACCTGGCCAATGTAACCCATATTTCGACCCAACACTGAATTGGAATGCTGTAAATGCTTTACCATTTATCATAGATTACTTAGAAGCTGCAGCTGGTCCAATCCTACCATAGTAAAAATAACACTACTGCTAAGGTTGCTTCAGGGCTACCAGCTGGGCTTTCAAAACACTGATTCAGAACTGGGGGGGGGATGTAGGATCAGATGTCATTTGTCAAGGTTGAATGTGTCCATCCTGCAAAAAGATGAGAATATTAAAAGAGTTTTCCCACTAGGTAAGATGGACCTGGACCAGGCAGCAGGCAGCCTTTTTCTGTTCTGACCCTGTACTTTGGAACTCATTGCCTCTGGAAATTTTAGCAGCCTCTTCCTTTGTAGTATTTCACACAGCTATTAAAACAATACTATTCCACTGTACTTTTAACAAGGATTAAATTTTCTAGGGGATTTCTTTGTTTAGTCTCTGTTGTGTGCTGCCCAATGTCTGTAGATTAGAGCAGGATGCAAAAAAATGTGAAACAAATAGAGCTTATCCCACGTTAATCTACTGCAGCATTAATTTACAACTGTTATGTTGGGTCGTTACTTCTCTATACAACCCAATAGTTCAAAGTCACTTCTGCAGATTCCTCAGTTTTTCAAAGGTGTCACATATTTTATAACAAAACTTGTCTTATGAAAATATTACAAAGTTAGATATATCAAGGGCCAAAGACACAACTATGTGTCGGCAGGCTTGTAGCATTTGCTATTAGTAAATTATTTTTATTGATTCAAATCAGATCATGGGTAAGTAGGTAAAGAATATCCAAGTGTCTTTGACTTTTTCCATCCAATGCATGCTGTGTAGCTTTGCTTCACTTCACATATATGGCTCTCAACCTTTTTAAAGAAAGGTGACTGAGAAATAGTTACCTAGAATGTGTTTTCTGAGCAAATGGATAGTGTTAAAACATACTAGACTGGTATGCAAATGCAATCATTAACTCTTTGACTTCATGGAGCAAAAAATTCACTAGCTAATATTCTCTGGCTACTTTTTTAATCTTTGGAAAACCCTGATAGCCAAAAAGCAAAAAGGCTCAATCCATTTTACTTTAAAAGAGGTATAGATTTTTATATAATAACGACCAATGGAAGTATTAATAACATGGTATACACACGATTTATCCTTGTAAAAGAGGCACAACATAAAAATAATAAAATTATATTGAACCTAAAGAAGCCAAATTCATGTTTCTCTTCACTTTAAATATGTTCAGACTCACTTCAAAAATATAACTTGACGAAGATAGATTAAAATTAGTGAAGCATCATTATGATTCCTTTGCCACTTACATAATCAAATAGTAAATTTCCATTCAGATAATTATGCAAAAGCATGTACAGCATAAATTACAGCTATGAGGTAGCGATTATATGTGCAATATGCACTAATGTACATCAAGTACAAATGAAGGAAAACTCAAATTTTTTAAACAGTTTCAAGCCCCAGTCCAGAAACTGACAGATACACCATGTGCTGCTCATAGAGTTCTGTACATGCCTAGCGCTCGTCACATAGAAAGCAGTGTCACTCTGTTCCGTGATGTTTACAAAGTACCCGTCTCAATGCTGGGAATCACACAGGCAGCCCGAGTGCTGGATGCAAACATCCAATTCCATCCATCAAGTTTTTGAACACACACTTCCTGATCCAGCAGGTTACATGCCTGCAGAAGCTTCTAGAGTCCTCGTTCTATTGAGATGGTGCTGAACCTATACATGCCAAATTGCTGGTGTCTCAGTTTGATAACTACTGGTTTCCAAAAGTTGCAAACTGTTCTCCATGTTGTGAAATAAACACGTATGCAAGATGCCCATGTTTTGATATGTATTTTTATTTCCCTGCAGTTTTCACTTATCAAGAACAAGTAACAGGGAAAGTTGTCTGAACTAGTGCATAAACAAACATTCTGAAACACCACTACACATATCTAATTTACAAGAACCGTATAAAAAAAGTCACTAAAACACTACACTACGAAGGTGTCCAACGCTTACAGTCAGACTTTTTCCAACCCGTTACTTGCCTTGTAGCCACAGGAAAACTTTCCAAAATTGAAAGACAATCTGCCATGACCCTCCCCCCTCCCCCATTACCTGGGATGGCTCGATATCTAGACATCCAATAATTATTGCAATGATATATAATGCAATACATACCTGGTAAAATATCATTTATGTGGTGTGTTACAGTTAAAAGCCGGTTAAATTATGCAGACTTCAGATAAAATATAATCAGTTGAAAATTTTCTTCATATCTGCACAGTTTAATATGTGCTAGATGCATAATTTGTACTAGTCAGGTTTTCTGTGTAATTATTTTTTATAAATTGGTATTATAAATAGAAATATACATTCAAAATATATGGAAAAGTGGGTTACTACATTAAATTTGCATGTATCGATCCATCCCTTTCCCCTGCACAGTAATAGAAAATACTATTTTGCCTTGAACTTCATATTTGACAGTGAAATGCCACTAAAGTATTTACCAAAAAGTCCATCTAAAATTGTGAAACAAAATGAACCAAGTGAAAACTTTACATTTCCTTTAGAAAAAAATTACAAGAATTTTTCCTAGCTATGAATCTTTAACTTTTTTTTTTAGACACAAAGTTGGATTTATTTTTTTACAAGATACAAAATGTAAACATGGCAAAATAAATAGTTAAAACAAGTGATGCAGGATCCCATTTCATGCTCATGATCCCATTTAAAGAATTATTTTTAAATCCATTCAGTTGCAAATTCAAGTGCAAAAGCATGATGATGAATATCTACTATTCAAGTAACAGAAATAATATTGATGATACAAATAAACTATTTTACAAGGTAGTGATTTTCCCAATTTTACAAAATGTACATTATATATCGACTTAATATACGATATGATAGTCCGTTTAGGTCCATTTTAATCCCCTGTGATCCACAGAGTTTTGTTTTGCATTCAGCTGGAATATAAATGACACCATCAGCACACATTGAGCTACTATGCTAGGTTATGTCACCTCCATTGCTACTGTCGTCTCTGCTATTCCATTCAAACCCAATCTTTCGGGTTCATGGTTCTCTCTGAAAGTGAAAAGAGAAGGGCAAATAAATATATAGTTTTAATAATGAATTACATGTATAATTTATTAATATTTGACATTTCGTTAACTTAGTATCTCTCATATGTATTATCTGAGAAATGTTTAAAACACAACAAAGCTAAAACTTTACTAGGAAGAAAATGACAATTGATGCAAATTTCCCTCTCACAGCATGTAGAAAAGGAATAAAAAAGAAAAATCAGAGAATCTTAATTTTCATTAGAAGGGTAAAACAATGTATAAATATTGAAGTGTAGAAGATTTATACATGTATACAGCGTAGAAAATAATGTATAAATCCTACACGTAATCTACAGGATTTCAGATTTTTCTTGAGATTTGTAATATAAAATAATTGGCTGAATTAACCTTTCACTTATGAGGGTAGATCTTTTATGTCATTATAGCTTCTTGCATTTTGCTAGCAAAATAATCAAAAACAAACACATTTTTCCCCCAACAAGATACACCAGGGGTCTTCAAACATGGCCCTTTTATGACTTGTGGACTTCAACTCCCAGAATTCCTCAGCCAGCGTGCCTGGCTGAGGAATTCTGGGAGTTGAAGTCCGCAAGTCATAAAAGGGCCACGTTTGAAGACCCCTGAGATACACAAATCAAATATCATTACTTAATTCAGCCTTTCTTGGGTTAGGATTTGTTGGTAAATCCACTTTTCTTTTTTTTAAAAAAGGGAGGACAGAGAGGAGGAGGAGGAGGAGGAGCAAGAGACACACACCTTGCTATGCTGCTGATGGCACTGCTTGGAGTCACCTTTGGCACTCTATCCATACTGGCAGCAACTGTGGCAAGTTTTAAGGCGGTTGGCGATGGTGCTGAAGTCCTTGCATTGATATGTACATTGACTGGAGAAACAACACTGACATTGTTGAGGTGCACTGCATTGGTGAGACAGGAATTGTTCATAGGAAGTGTCTGAGAGCTGTTTGTGCACAATGCTGGGATTAAATGGTTTGTGGTGGTGTGACCGACTGTCCTTACAAGTTGTACAGCTGAGATCCCTGGGCTAGATGACAGAGCCATGTTGGTGGAATACAGAGTTTTTGATGTTGCTGTTCAAAACAAAACAGATGCACTCAATAGGTTTCAAGTAAAATGAAATACATGAAATAAAACCAAGATCACCATCCCATCTTAATGTCTTCTGGATATGGTATATTCCAGAAGTTGGGCTAAGGGGGATGTAAGTTATAGGGCAACACATATGGAGGGCACCAGGATGGAGCAAGCTATGAAGCAATAACGAAAGAGATCTATATCCAGACATTAGGACTCATCTCTTAAATTCAAAGACACACTGTAATACATTAAAGTATATAAGAATCTGCAGATGCCCAACAGGAATTTTATTATTTTTATTAAATAATAAAAAAGATCAAAATCTTCCATGACTTAATTTAAAAAAAACAACAGCCATTATTGCCCTATCAAACATTTTCTCGGATTGATCTTGTATAGAAAGTAACCATTAGCAACATCTTGCTATAAACTAACATGAAAATAATGCAACAAAGAAAAATATACCTGTTGGCTGAACAACACCGTTGATATTGTGGCTGGCACTCTGTTCCTTTGTCGCCTCACCCCGATTGGGAGCGGGTGCGCTCACCACTGCAGATGCAGCAAAATGGGCACTGGCCGAGTCAAGCGTTTTTGACATGCAGTCAGAAGTGCTTGAGCCCTGGGAAATTTACACAACAGTTTTCATAATTACAGACTATTTGTAAGATACTATCAAATTAACTCTTGATATAAACAGTAAAAAAAAATTATCCAGACCCAAGAGATGTTCTCTTAGCGACAGAACTGTTTCTAATTCCCATGAAGTTAGACCGCAAATACCGGTCGGTGCAGCTGCAGGAGAGGAAGGGGCTGCTTCGAGTGAATAAATAGGCTTTCACTGGCTTCAGATTAAGTTCTGTCTACTAAATAAGCTAAAAGTTTTTGCTTTCTATCTTTTACCTTTACCATTTTAAAAGTTGTGGTCCAGTGCTGAAATGTTAAAAGCACCTTTATTTAAATGGGAACGTCTTCACATCCTTTCCAAAGAGGATTACGTTTTAATTGCGTGCACGGGGTAAAGAAACCCAGACAAGTATAAGTAAAGATACTGAACAACATGCTATACTGCAACCATAACATAGATGCAAAAATGGCATTAATTCATACGATTAAGACTCTTTATTAATGTCGAATCAACATTACAAAGGGACTGGAGAAAACTGATTCAGAAATGAATGTCAAATTCTAAATATTAAAAAAATAAATCACTAGGGTTTGGTATTACATTACAAATTAGCAGATTTATTTTATTTCACCACAGACTGTAGCCCAAGGAAGCTCATGCCTTAAAGAATAACACTGTGAATCTGCTATTCTTTAAGGTGCCCTCACACTTTAGGGTTTTTTTACTGCCACCAACTCAATATATTAGTTACTCTTTGGAAGAATTATGAGCTAGTTGTATGGATTAGAAGAAAACAGATTTTCTAAGAACAGATAAGACAGGCACACAAGCATTAATGGTATTGGTTTATAATCAATGCACTATAGCATATGGGTATAATCAATAGACAAACCTGAGTATAGCAGTTCTTTTCTGTCACAATCTCAAAACTGCATTTATCTACTCTATTTAGGTTGCATGTTAAGTATATCAGAGACTGGTCTATTTGAAGTAGATATGAAGACAAAAAATGGGAGAGAGAAAAAAACTAGAAAAAAACAGAACTGGTTCTACACTGGTTTCTAGAATATATGAGAAACTATTTTCAGGAAAGGCGTTTTGTTACCTGTGCTTTTGGATATGTCTGTTGGGATTGATGCTGAGACTGCTGTTTCTGTTGGAGCTGAGCCAGTTGCTGCCTTTGCATTTGAACTAACTGCTGTTGATGTGTCTGAAATTGTTCTTCTGTAATACCCCCAGTTACTGTAGAAAGAAAGAAAGAACATGCTTGAATTTAAGGGTTCAAAGTCATATCAGTCACTGTGTAAGTTACATGGATTGGGAAGCAAAGCAGTTTTTAAATAGCTACATTACATAGCACAATGAATTTATGGAATGATCATTTTAAACTTGTTCAGTAGTTTAGTTAGTTAACAGTCTACTTCTTATAAATTAACTAGCTGATGGTGCCTCCAAAAAGAGGAATATACAGGTTAAGAAAAGCATCTGTAAAGTGTTATTTAAAAAAAAACCCAGCAGAAACAAAACCAGCAGTTCCAACTGCAATTAATTATCATTCATTAATTGATTTATTATATCTGTAGTACTCTGGAACTCAATGAATTCCTTGAGTAACCTAGATATTTTACTAGATTTGAGAACTATGGATATATTTTAGATGTTTATACTGCAGCATTTGCTAAAGTTACTGGATTGGTGGCCATCAAAACTATAATTAGGGTAGTTTCAGAGTGAAAATGTTTAATGAGACAAAGCAGATGAAGTCCTTATCAATAGGCTCATTTGCACATTATACCTTCCTAAGCCTATAGTTAAGCATAGAGTTCAGTCCTTTTTCAGTCCTCCCACCACTCAATATCACAGCCAGCAAATAGCAGTAGTTTGTTAGTTCAAGGTTTAGTATGTTGTCTGAATGTAGGTTCATGCTACAGTAAAACAGAGAATAGGTTATAAGCAGGTCTTTCACAAATAATGGGTATGAAAATCTAATGTACTTATTTTTTGTGTACCAATTATCTCAGTTAATGATTTAAATGTAGATTTTCCAGCTTATGATTCACAATGTATAAAGGCACAAAAAGTTAACCAAGGAGGAAAATGTTATGCAGGCAAATCACAGTTAAAACACCTGCCTAGTTAAGAAATTAATACCTACAACAAATGGACTTCTTAATACATATAACTACTGCATCACAAGTAGAGATACAGTTTCACATTTTCCTCTGCTATGCGCTAAATTGTATCATTTGCTCTTTTTTTGTTTAACAGCTGACAGTTCGTGCAAACTCCCACTTGTATTGATGAGAGTATTTCCGCAGACATTCATTTTCCCTCAGACTATTCCAATTTAATATTTTAAAAACACCACAAGTATAATTGAGTCTGGAAATAATTTTTGGATGGTCAATTAAATTAGCTTGTGCAATCCAACTGAGTTTAGCTTGTTTAGAAACCGATAGGCTTTGTTGGTCAGCTATGTCAATATAATTTTCTTATGAAAAACATATTCTATTCCAGAAGTTACCACAGCTTTCTAAATAATTACTCAAATCAATGAAAATAAGCTAGAACTGAACTAATGAGGCTAAAACTGGTTCAAAAACATTTATGGTTGCAGCTAAATTACTGTATATTTATACCTACATACAGTATATTTATACCTATAATGACAGAAATGTTTTCAACTATTTCAGTTCCATTCAGTTTTCAATTCCATTTACAACACCAGAACTATTTCAGATATTTCACAACTCCAGACCCTGTTTTGTCACTTATAATTTGATATAAGCACCAGGGGCAAAGAAGCCCAACTATGTTGTAAAATACTTCATATAATTAAAAAAGGTTAAAGCTAAAATCAGAAAAAGCCATTCCTTTGATATAAATTGCTTTAACACTCTCTGTTGTTAGATCAGAGTTCGGCAATCTTTTAGTAATTGGGGTGTACATAATATTTTTTAAGAAAGCCAGGTGACCCAAAGTAGGTATACGCATGGATAGGGCCAGGATTTTTTCTATTTTCATGAGCTGGGGGAAGAATGTTCCAGGATTTCTTTGCTGCAGCTTGTACTGTAAGGCATTTTAGAATTTAACTACAGTTTATTAGTTACTGTAATTACAGGAGTTTCTATAAAAGCTCTGGAGCTTCAGGTTACTCATTGCTGCAGTATTTTATTTATATATTTATTTTACATGTTACCCATCTCATAGTCCTGCAACTCTGATCGTCTCACCATTCTTTTCTCCAAAATCTATTAAAACTTGTGATTTTTAAAAAAATGGGAATAGGGCAGTAAAGTACATTCTTCCCCCTGATAATGTTCCTTTGAAGGGAAAGATTTCAAGAGCAGAGCAGTTGCAATTCAACTGTATATATCTTTGTTCAGATCTTTGCGTAGGAAGACCAAGCATGAAGAAAAAGGGCAAAAACGTACAGGTAGCCCTCAACTTACGGCCACAATTGAGTGCAGCATTTCTGTTGTTAAGTGAGACGTTTATTAAGGGAGCTTTCCCCCATTTCATGACCTTTCTTGCCACAGTTTTTAAGTGAATCACTGCAGCTGTCAAGTCAGTAACCTGGTTAAGTGAATCTGGCTTCCCCATGGACTTCACTTGTCAGAAAGTCGAAAAAAGTGACCCTGGGACACAGCAACAGTCATAAATATCAGCCAGTTGCCAAACCTCTGGATTTTGATCACGTGATCCTGTGGATGCTGCAAAGGTCGTAACTGTGAAAAATGGTCATGTCACTTTTTTCAGTGCTGTTGTAACTTTGAATTATCACCAAACGAACTGTTGTAAGTCGAAGACTGCCTGTATATCCTTGCATTTCTATTATTGTTATTGTGCCTGAAGAGAGATCTACAGTTCATCCTGAGGTTGAACATGAAAATGTACATAATATTTGAGACTACAAGTAGTCCTCAACCTACGACCATTTGTTTAACAACGGTTTGGAGCTACGACTGAGCTGAAAAAAATGACTTACGACCAGAGTTCTCATTTACTACTGCTGCAACATCCATCCCCGCAGTCATATAATCAAAATTTGGTTGCTTGGCAATCAGCCTGCAATTGTGACAGCGGCAGCACCCTTAGGTCATGTGATGGCAAAGTCAAAGGGGAAGCCAGATGTGCTTTAACGATAGTGTGATTTGCTTAACGACAGTGGCAAAAAAGTTGTAAAGGCAGTCACAAATCATTTAACAACTGCATCACTTCCCGATGAAAGTTCTGGTTCCAATTATGGTCGTAAGTCAAGATTTAATTTTATGACCCAATTATAGTAGCATGCCAAGGTTTAATTATTTCAGCCAGTTTATTTCTCTCCCCAATCATTTAAGCTTTTCCTCTGCTTAAAAATCACCTCACATAGAAAATCTAGACAGCTGTAGCTAGTTTTCCAAATGTAAAAGGTTTGGGGGTGTTTTTTTTCACCTGTATGGACAAAAGCAGGTAAAACTATATTTATATTATTGATAGGAGTCAAACATATTTTAACATGGACTTTTCCAACCATCTACATAGGAGACTTGCTTCTCTTCAATAAAAGCATATACAGTAAAACATCCTAAAAAATGATGCCGTGTTCAGATGTGCATACTGACAAACAAAGACATATTTTGTAGGTATCACAGAATTCAAGCGATATGCTGGGAATTACTTCCTAAATGTATCTGTCTTTTAATTCAAAATATTCCTTTCTCTCACTCTCTTTTAGATCAGCCTTGTACCAATCAGGAAAACAAGATGATTTACTTCTACTTTTAGAATACTACCGGGCCTTAATTTCATGGGTTTCACCACCACCCTCACTCCCTGGAGAGAGGCTGGCTCTATTGGATCAGCTTGCCCCAGGCCACTAATGGACATGATTGGGTTCCAGAGGGATCTTGAGGTTATTCCAGAAAGCTTGCTACTGGGTCGGGTTGACGCCTTGGAGGCTGCATGGAATAATAAAGTGGCAACAACTTTAGATTGGATCGTGCCTGAGCAGCCTCTCTGCGCCCACTGTTCCCAATGTTACCCATGGTATACAATGAAACTAAGCATAGCTGACTCAGGAATTCTGGGAGTTGAAGTCCATGAGTCATAAAAGAGCCGAGATTGCCTACCCCTGAACTAAGGGAAGCAAGCTAAGAGACACCTAGAGGGTTGCTGGTAAAAGACAGGAAGTGAAGATGAACAAACACCAGCTACAGCTGCGATTAGGGTGGCAAAACGTAATGATTTATCCACTCTTATTGCGTCTTACAGCTGCCTAGCAGCACTGTTTCGAGTGACTCAGTCCCTCCTTGGAGAGAGTAAGGCCAAAGTCTACTTCAATGGCCATTGTGAAGAATATGCTGCATATCTGGCAGATAAAATCAGTCACATTTGCTTTATGTTGGACTTTCAGCTTTAGAGCAGAGTCTATGGCAGTGATGGCGAACCTTTTAGAGACCGAGTGCCCAAACTGCAACCCAAAACCCACTTATGCATCGTCGGGTGCCGGGTGGGGGTGGCCCATTGGCTGGGCGTGACCCATTGGCTGGGCGTGCCTGCGCAGGTAATGGCAGACTGGGTGGGACTAAAAAGTTCAATCAATCAATTCCAACTGTGCAAGATCTTTTTTTTTCCCAAGAGAAGATGAAATTGATTGAACCTTTTTTTTTTTGCACATGGCAGCGGAGGCCTAAAGCGAAAAGGTTTTATAAAACCCAGCTGAAGGCCTAGGACTAGGGTGACGGTGCGCGTGCCCACAGAGAGGCCTCTGAGTGCCGCCGCCTCTGGCACCCGTGCCATAGGTTCGCCACCACTGGTCTATGGAGATGATGGGGCTACCTGTTGCAAACCAATCTGGGAAGAGTTTAAACCCATTGAATCTGAAGAAGAGGACAGGGCTCTCTCAGCTGCTAGTTCGGCCCCACCTGTGTGTTAGACTGTTGGCTGACGGGGAGTAGAAAACAAGCTTTTTCTGCAGCAGCCCAGGCTTTGTGAAGCATCTTCCCTTTGGAGATTAAAGTGGCCCCCAATCCTGTTAGCGTTCCATAAAGCTTTGAAGACCAAGGGCCAAGGGCTTCACCTCCTGGCTTTATTGTTAACAGGCCAGATGTCATACTTACTCAAATTAGATGTTTTAATGTTTTTGTATTGTTTTAATGGTTTTTATTGTTTTAAAATGTTTTTTAAAATTTTAATTATAATATATGTCTCTGAATTGTGAGCCACCCAGAGTCATTTGCTGAGATAGATAGATAGAT